ACACAGTGTATGTATGTATATACATGTATGTCTTTGATAACCAGGATGGGGAGAGGCGAGAGGAATACAGGGAAGGAGACCGCCAAATGGGTCCTAGAGCAGAAGGAAGCTTTTCAAATAGTGGCTACCACAATTTTTTAAAACAAAAAAGTTTTTCAGAGGCAGAGTTACCCTAGAGGATCAGACAAGAAGATACCAGGACCACACCCTACTCTGGGAACTACACCTTGCTTTAACTGCCACCAACTAGGTCAGTGGAGTAAAAAGTGCCCCAGGAGACCCCTGCCAGGACCATGCCCTTACTACAAAAGGGAGGGGCACTGGAAGCGAGATAGCCCTCTCCTTGAAAAAGGGGATCACACTCGCCTTCTGGAACTGGTGGGGCCCCCTGAGCCAGCATCCTCCATACCCACCGACCCTCTAGACTACTTCAGTCTGATGGGCAGATCCCGGCTTGGGAACAAGCTCACCTTCATTACACCTGGATGACTGAGCCTTAGGTAACTCTCTGTCACAGGTAAGCAAACTGATTTTAATAGACACTGGAGCCACTTACTCTGCTCTTCCTAAATTTTCGAGACCTCTGTTTCCCTCCCTTATCTCCACTGTCACATAATAATTAAAATACAAACCCCCCTGGGTACTCCACAACTCCTCTGCTCACTGTGAGATCAAATCTTTTCTCACTCCTTTTGGTACTTTCCAATTATCCCCTCTCCCCCTGACTAGGAAATGATCTTAAGGTTCAGTCAGACACCTAACTCCTTTAACACCACAGCTTTCCTTTCTCAGAAGCTTGGAAAAGACTTAACGTTTTCACTGACTCTAAATATGCCTATGATATCTTATACTCTCATACAGCTATTTGCAAAAGTGGGGACTTCTCGCTGCTCAAGGTACTTCTATCAAACATGCTAACCTTATCATACAACTCATATAGACAGCTCCTCTCTCCATTTGGGGAGTTCCAGGGGAATTCCCATTTGGGTTGGAAGCCTCAACCATTTGGGAGAGTAGGACTGTTTGTATTTGACGATCCCCAGACTTATTTGTTAAGCTACAGTCCATTTGGTATATGTGAAATCCTCTGTCTCTACCATTTGGGATATTATGCCATTTGGACCTAAGACAAGTCATTTCCATTATTGATTGGTTTGAAATAAGATTCTTAAAAATTTCTCTGATGTAGTGTTCCTGGACTTGTGTTTAAAACCTCTTAAATTTCTGTTTTTGTATACATGTTTAAACTAAAGAACAAATTACATCAAGGAAAGTTCACAATTCAAGTGGTCAACCTGCCACTATAGGGTTAAAACAGAGTTTGTTAAGCTCTCTATCTCTATTTTCTTTTCTGATGGAGATAAAACTCATTTGAAATTAAAAACGAAGATAGAATTTGGTTCTCTTTTAAATAAGATTTCCATAAGATATAAATAAAAATAACAAAAGATTCTGTTCCTCTTTTAAAAAGGGTGGGAGAAAAAAAAGAATAAATTTTTTGGCCTCTTTATAAGCTGAGTCTCCTCTCTATTAAAGAATAAAATTTTTTTGCCTTCTAAAATCTTTTGATTGTCAGTTTGGCTAGGTGAATGACTATAATTTTATGTTAACCTGTGATCCTGTTTCATAATAACAAGTGTTTTATAACAGAATATGGTCAAAAAATTCAGTCATTTGTTCCCCTATTCAAGATACTAGTTTTTCTTGTTTATGTTCCGAAACATGATCCTCAAAAACGTTCAGGGAATTCTGCCCATTTACCCCAGACCATTGGCTTCTACACCACAGTTACCTGTCCCCGACATGGTCTAGGATGAAAACCAGATAATCTTTTACTGTGCATTAAGACTTTTTGATCCATAACTTATTAGAATAATCTCTTCTGATTAGAATTTGCAATTAGTGAAGTCATAGAAAATGGGTTACTATCTAATTAGAGATGTCATTGTTTTATTTTAACATCTGAGAGTGTGTACAAATTAGTCACAGTGTCTGCAGAGTCTTGGGACCAGAAAATGCTAATGATAGAAGAGACAGAAAAAGAAATAGAATAATTCAGTAGGAAAGAAGCAGGTAAATTTGGTGAAAAAATAAGAATGATGTCTATAATCAACTTTTAATTATTAACCCACTATATTTGTTTGTTTTTATGGCTCATCTGGTCACTTTCAGCTTCTCTGTAGCATGTAGCAGTACTCAGCTACCCCTTCTGCTCTGCCTGTGGGTACTCAAGAAAATACAAATTATTGAATGTCAAGGTGAGAGGAAAAAATGTAACTAGGAAGAAAAATTACATAATGCTTTCCAAAGGCAGCTGTAAGTTATTTTTAAAATTACTTGATATTTGGGATTATCCATGGATATCCTTTATTGGTAGGAAGTCTAGGAATTCTCATAGCCTCTAGGGCAGACTCCTCCCTTCCAGTGTTGCAGCAGGGACCAGCAAAGGAGAAAGGAGATGAAGTTGCAGAGAGGGTGCTGAGGAGCGTCCGTCACTAAGGCCAGTCTCATTTATGCAGCTGTCTCTGCTAACAGGATCATCCTGGTGGGAGGAAAGGCTGAAAGCCCTAGAGAGGGCTGGGACACTCAACACATCCTGGGCACATACACGAGTCTGCAGACCTCACC